GCCCCCACGGGCAGCCCGCCCGCGTGGAGGGAGCCTCCTGGTCGAGGCCCACAGGGGTCCACTCTGCCTCCAGCCGCTTCTTCTGGCCCAAGCTCGGCCTCCCTCAGCGCAGAGGCTGCCACTTGCCCCAGAGAGAGCTCTGGGCAGGAAGAAATAACCCATGCAGAGCTCGGAGCTAAAAATAGCTCAGCCCACCCCAGCAAGGCGAGGCAAGCTGTCTGGGCAGCATCTGGGGTCTCCTGAAATGACCCATGCGGAGCTCCAGGGGACCCAGAGGTCTCAGCCCCAAGGCGCAGCACTTAAGATTCAAGCCGCCCCTTTAACTACGTGCCACAGCCTCCCGCATGGAAGATGTGAGTGTGTTCTAGGAGCTCCCTGTCCTCTGCGCCTGCCAGGGAGGCACAGAGATGCCCGTCCTCCCACCAAGCCCCAAAGCGGGCGGGGCACCCACGAGGGACCGAATCAGCCCATTTTACAGAGGAGGAAACTGAGGCTCGGGGACAGCTTGGCCAGGCCCTGAGGCTAACACTCGGCTCCACAAAGTTTCCACCTGCCTCCCGCCCCTTTTCAAGTCAAGACTCCAGGGACTCCCCCGGTGGTCCAGTGGCTAAGAAAGGCTCTGCTCCCAGCGCGGGGGCCTGGGTTCGATCCCCAGTCAGGGAACTGGACCCTGTGTGTTACAGTGAAGATCCTGCCTCGGCGAAGACCCTGGGTGCTGCGACCAACACCAGGCACAGCCAAGTAAAAAAGGTGAAGATTCCAGAAAGGGAGGTCACAGTTAGGGAAGAAGACCCCAAAGGAAACAGCGAGGCTGAGTTTCCTCAGTTCAGGTGAAACACGGCGCCCACCGAAACCCAGTGTGTGACGCCAGGGAGGCCGTCCAGCCGCCTGGACGCTGCGGTCGCGGGGCGGGGCAGCCTCGCAGCCCTCTGTGGAGGGGCCCTTATGCAAAGCACCCTGGCCGGAGACGCGGCCTGCAGAGCTGCAGATATCAGGCTGCTTCCCTTACTTGAGCTCAAATGTCTTCTGCTAAACTCACAGAGAGCAAGCCCCCTCCAGCCAACAAGCTCACAGTGAGCCCCTGCCGCGGCCTGCCCATGGCTGTCACTTGACACTGTATCAGAAGCATCCTCAGCTGACCTGGGGAAGAGATGGACCTGGGCAGGTAGGACCCCGGGCTCCAGGACCCAGGGCTCCAGGACCCAGGGTTCTCTTCCCTGCTTGCAGCCGGCAGACCGGACAGGTGCCCCACAAAGCCACACTGGCGTGGGGGGCGGGCTGGACGCAAGCACAGACACCTGTGCATTTCCTGCCAAGACACAGCCCCACGCCAGGCTCCCCCGAGGTCTGACCTGTGGCCAAGGTCTCGGTCAGGGGCAGAGACAGCATCTCCTTTCCCATGAGGATGCAAACCGGGAAGGGACTGATGAGGGGCCCACCTTCCATGTGTGTGCCACGCACGTTAGGCCTGTCTCCAGGCCCCACGCCCTCCCCCGGGACCTAATACAGTTCAAGGGGAGGGTGGGAAAGCCAGGGTTCTGCTTTTGGTTTTTTTTTTTTTTAGCCTAGCTGGTCTTTGTTGTGATTTAGTTGCCCCGAGGCAGGTGGGACCTTAGTTCCCTAACAGCCCCTGCACTGGGAGGCGGGTTCTTTACTGGACCAGCAGGGAAGTTCCCAGGAAAGCCAGTCTTTATCTCTCTGGATCCACCCAACAATATCTCTTAATCATTCCACAAAAACTGACTGAGCACTGCCACGTGCCAGGTTCCAGGTAAGGCTCTGGGGACTCAGTCCCTGCCTCCCTGAAGGCCACGCCCCACAGGCAGGCAGGTGCTAAGCAATCACACAAACCCATCGCTACGGGCTTCCCTGATGGTTCGGCAAGCAAAGGATCCGCCTGCAATGCAGGAGGCCCAAGAGGTGCAGGTTCGACCTGAGTGGAAAAGATCCCCTGGAAGAGGAAAGTGGCAACCCACTCCAGTATTCTGGCCTGAAAAATCCCATGGACAGAGGAGCCTGGCGGGATATATCTGTGGAGTCACCAAGAGTTGGAGACGACTGAGCGACTGACATGTGCACGCAGGCATACGTCACACATGTTACACACGAGGGCATGCCCATGGGGTGGCGGAGAACGCCAGGGCTTAACTGGGATTGAGCGCAACAGCCCAACACTCCAGCTCAACTCTCCAAGGACGGATGCTGGTCCCAGGGACTCCACGCAGTCACTGGACGACCTGCCCTGCATCCTAGCTGCTCGGAACAAGAGGACTGGGCCTGGCGATGGCCCCATCCATTTCGCCAGAGGCTCAGCCTCTGGGCCAAAGCTCACAACTGCTCCAGCCTCCAAGGGCCCTCCCACCTCCCAACGGATGTTTGGATTTTAAGCCAAACCCAAGGAATACGGGATGTTGTGGGCGCTTTTTTTTTTCTTTCCTCTTTTGCTTTTTTTGGAGGGAGGCAGTATTGGATTTCAAATTTTCCATTCCATTTCGCTTACACAATTACATTTTCACAGATCCAGCTAAGGCAGTGGTTCTCCACAGGGATGACTTTGCCCCCCAGGGACATGTGGCAACATCTCGAGGCATTTGCATTGTCACAGCTGGGAGGGCGGGGGAGGCGAGTGGCATGCAGAGGGCAGAGGCCAGGGATCTCCGCACAGCCCGGCCCCGCAACAGAGAATTGTCCAGCTCCGGTGTCAACAGGTCCAAGGTGGAAAACCCTGGTCACGGGGCATCTGGTCAACTCCTCTGAGGATCAGAGCAGACCCTGGCCTGTTAATTCAGGGTCATCTTATTGCTATCAGTCACAGGAACGCAGAGACCAAAATCACTGCCACAAGATTCCATGGCAGATAGTACCAGGCTCCAAGTCTCCAAAGGACCTTCACTGTCTTCACGGATCTCAGAGCAGAGACCATGGCCTGCTTCCCCGTGTGCCTCCACCACCTGGCATGGCATCCAGAATACAGGAAGTGGGCAGAGGGGCAGGAAGCGGGGAGAGAGGGCAGCCTCTTCAGAGGGACCATGGCTTACCCCCTCCCCGGCTCAGCACCCAGCGCTGTTTCCAGCACCTAGCACCCACCTCCAATTTCACAAAAAAACCACTAGACGGAGCACTGCCCCGGGTCAGGGGAGAGGCCCCCCTCCCCTCTGACCCTGAGCCTAGGCACACGGCTTACTCACCGAGCACCTTCAGGGAGCCGGGTGCAGGCGCGGCCCCGCTGGGCTGGCACGGTGGTGAGAAAGACGGACATCGGCCCGAGCCCTCGAACTCACAGTCCAGCAGGGGAAGGAGAACCAAGTGGGCCCCACGGTTCGAAAGCAGGTGGGGGGGGCTTCTGCGGGAGACCTGGGGGCCTGGGGGACTCCTGGGACTGGCCCTGAACACAGACGGGGGGTGATGCTCCTTGAAACAGTGAGCGAAACCACATACAGTTCATCTCTGCACGTCCCAAGCAGGAGGGAAGGAAGGAGGGAGGTGGAAAGGGGGCTTCCAGAGGGAGTCAGGGGCCCCTCCTCGGCCCTGACTCACCTCTCCCCAGCGACCTGGCCCAGGAGCTCATCCCTGAAGGTAGTACTGAGTGCATGGAATCCAGGGCCCAGACACTAGGCCCAGTGGGGCCCGAGTAAGTCCCAAAAGGAGTAAGGCCCAAAATCAGCACCACAGCAGCTAACACGCAGTTATTCCTGCTAAGGGCCCAGGGCGATCCCAAGCCCTTCACTCCTGTGGTCGCGTCAGTCTTTATAACAGCCTTTCGAGAGAGGAACTATTCCCACCCCCATTTTACAGATTGGGCAACAGAGGCACAGAGAGGGTAAGAAAGGGCTCAAGGGCACGCGGCCAACACACGGGGGAGCTGGGCTCGGATCCCAGGCTGCGGGGCTGTGCCTGGAGCCCCTGGGACGGCCACGGCTTCGTCCCTCAGCCTCGAGCAGGCACCCGGCACGGGGCTGCCGCGCTGTCTGTGAAGCACTCAGGTGAGCGGGCGGGACCAGGAGGACCCCACTCGGGGGGTGCTGGGAGGACGGGGGCCCCCAGGGCAGCACATCAAGAGGAGAAACTGGGGGACGGGTGGACAGAGTGCTCCAGCCAGGGGCCCCAGCGAGGGGTCTAGCCACGCTGCCCCCAGCAGAGCCTCAATGAGCAGGCCCCTCCCGAGGCAGCAGGATGCAAACACAAGAAGTCTCGCTGGGCATCCTCACCAGGTACCAGCTGGGGGCTGAGGACGGGCAGCTTCCTGAGAGACCAGGGACTCACCCTCACCCCTTCAGCCCCCAGCCCAGAGCTGGAGCAGACCCCCGGGCAGGGATGGCCGAGACTAGGGCCCCACTGTGCCTGCTGGGTACCAGCCAGCGCCCTCCCCTCTGCTGGGCGGAGGGTCACCAGAGATCAGGCCCAGCCTGGCTGGCTCCTCGTCCATGGGATTTTCCAGACCAGATACTGGAGCGGGTTGCCATTTCCGTCTCCAGGGATCTTCCCAACCCAGGGATTGAACCTGGGTCTCCCGCGTTGCAGGCAGACTCTTTACCGTCTGAACCACCACGGTGCTCTCCCATTAGAAAGGTCTAAGCCTGCCCTCGTTCCGTCCTATGGAGTTTCCCAGGACGAGGCTCCTCCCTGCTGCGTGGATGCTCATAAGCTGGCCCTCCTTCCGAGTGTCGATCACCAGGAGGTGTCCCAGGCTGGCACTGTCCCTCTCTTGAGCTCAGCACACACTTGTTGGGTGCCCACTGCACGCCGGGGGTGAACAGCCTGGGATGTGACCTGGCTTGCACATCCTCCTCGCCAAGGTCAGGGCACTCGGGGGAACACGGCCGGTTCAGCTCATCCCTGGGACACTGACTCACATTGCCCACGTGCATGGATGATCAAGACCATCCCTCCAGAATTAGGTCCTGCGCTTTCCTGCTCACAAGTGTGAAATCGAAGCGACAGGAATTGACAGGGAAGCCCAGTGACTGCTCTCACTGGCAGGGACTCAAACTTAGACTCACTGGATTGCTGAGCTTCTAGTAGAACCAGGAGCCGGGTGCGGGGCTTCGCGTGCACTTCAGGATGGACCAGCCGGGTCCCCACAGGATGGGCCTCTCTCTCTCTCGGCTCCCAAAGGACAGCGGCTGAGTCTGCTTGCTGCTCCCCCCGAAATGCCTAGCGCCACACCTGGCTGCCAAGAGGGGTTCAATAAATGTGGGCGGGACTGAACCGAGCCAGAAAGCGGGCGCTCAGAGAAGCACAGTGACCTCCCGAAGTCAGGCAGTCAGAGAGCAGTGAGCCTCTGCCCACCGCCCTCCAAACTCCCCCAGCAGTGAGCCCGAGTGTCCAGCAGCCCCACCCTGCAGGACACGTTTCCCGGGGCAAAAGCCACCGCCCCTCCAGGCCCCGAGAAAGCACAGGCCAGCGCCACGGGAGACCTTATTAAAGAAAAGCAAAGAAAGGAACACCGAAGCATGCTGGCGGAGGCAGGGCCAGCCTGTGAGTCACGCGGCCCAGAATATCCGGGTCACAGCTGGCTCCGGGGCAGGCCGGGCGGCCGCAGCCCCAGCATCTGACAGAGCGGCGTCAGGACCCGTGGGCCTCGGGCGAGGGGTCAGGCGGGCTCTGCCACCAACTCCCACCAGCGCAGGACAAGTCACTTCCTCTCCCACGCTCTGACTGTCTGGTCTGGGAGAAGGGCCAAGGGTCTGGGGCTGCCACTGCCCATAGGGCTGGGGGGTGGGGGGTGGGGAGGGCCAAGCCAGAGACAGCCTCCCGCTCCCGCCTGGACAAAGCTTGACCCACATCGTCCCGTCCCACTGCGGAGTGGACCCTCTTCCGCCCCACCCCCAATGCCTGCAGGACGACCCCACGCTCTGGGGCTGCGGGCATCGCCAGGAAGCCCCTCTCAGACCTGCAGGTCACTCTCAGCCTGAGAGACCATCCCTGAGGGCCTGAGGAGGGCGGGCAGCTGAGCACCGACGCCATCAGGGGCTTTGGGAACAGCCTCACCCCCGTCACGATGGCCCGATGAGGCACGCACGGCCCCCATCTGTCAGAGGCAGCCGTGGAAGCTAAGCCAGGCGGGGCTGCCCACACCCACACAGCCAGCACGACGAGCTTCCGAAGCCTCGCTCCTACGTCCTCATCCCTGCCTGCGGGTCAGCTCCCGGGGGACAGGGATGGGGGGCCCTGGGTGTCCCCCTTGTACAGGGTCCCCAAGAGAAGGCTTACTGATTGGCTGGGCGGTCAGTTCCACAGCCCCGCCCAGGCCCCAGGAGAGCTCCCTGGGATCCTACCTGCAGAATCACTGCATTCGGGTGTCCTGGGCCCAGTCCTGCCTGTCAGGGACCCCACGCCGGCCTGCCCCCACCTGGCAAAAGGAGACACTGAGGCCCCGGCTCAGAGGAGCCAGAGAGCAAACCTCAGCACATTGGCATGGCCCCCGGAAGAGCTGAGAAACCGCTGGGGACCCAGCGAGGAGAAAGCATGGCTTTGCCAGGAGACCCTCTCGGCCCAGCTCCAGGCGACCCCCCTCGGCTGTGCAAACCTAGGCAGACCTCCTGCCTTCGCCGAGCCTGTTTCCTCCCCGCTGTAAAGCAGACAGCGCTGCTGACAGACCGCGGGACAGGAACGTCAGGCGAACGCGGTCACGGGGACGGAGCACGTGCCCTTTCCTTCGCAGCAGGGGCTCGCCCATCCCAACCCTCAGCTGGGCGGGAGGCTCAGAACCTGGCGCTCCTCCAGGCAGCCAGCCCAAACAGGTTTTCCTGGGAGTAGATTCTGTGGTTAATATTCACCTGCTTATGACCCAAATCTTCTAGGGCATCAGGCCTGCCTGAATCACTCAGCCCTGAGAACTCAAACCAAGCGGGGACGTGAAGTGGGAGGGGCAGGGAGCTGGCGCCAGGTGGGGTGCTGGATCCCAGTCCCTCCAGGCCCCCAGGCCCAGGCTGGCAGGGGAAGGAAGGTCCCTCCCACGACCCTACAGTGAGAAGCCCCGCCTGCAGCAGCCAGCTCTGAAGGCTCCAAGCCCATCAGATGATGATCCATCTCCAAAAGACTGTGGAAACCGGTGTGGGCATGTGAAGGGGAGGCTGGGACCGAGGGAGGCGGCATTGCGGATGAGACTGACCTGCCTCCCCCCGACCCTTTCTCGGCCTGGAAGCCATGCCCTGTGTCATCCGCCTGGGACCCGCCCATCTACATTCTGAACCATAACAGGAGCCAACTTCAGGGAACTCTTCCCAGAGGCCCACTGGGAGGGCCAGACACTCACCCCTCTGAGAGACAAACACCCTGGACGGGGGTCATCTGCTTTGTTTTCTGACTCCCTCACCAGACTATGAGCTCCGTGAGGGCAGAGGCAATGCTTTCCATCCCAGCGCAGCCCTCGGCACATGGCAGAGATTCAAGAGTGATGGGCGGATGGATAAAGAAACGGGTGGATTAGTAGATCGATGGATGGATGAATACACGGATGGATGGATGGGTATATAAAATAGTAAGTGAATGAAAAATGACAGGAGTCCAAAAGTAGTGACCCAAGGCCACTGGTCTCAGGGCTCTATTTCAATCTGGAATTTACCAGGAAGGCCAGACAGGGGAAGAGATGGTTGGCTGGCATCATCGACTCCGTGGACATAAGTTTGAGTAAGCTCCGGGGGAGAGGGAAGGACAGGGAGGCCTGGCATGCTGCGGTCCACGCGGTCACAAAGAGCTGGACACGACTGAGCGACTGAACGACGACCAGCTCTGCCCAGGTGTTCAGTCTGACCCAGTCACTTTCTAGACACGCTTCCCATCTGGCTGAACGTCCCTATGTGATCGCTCTGCCCACTTCACCAGGCTGTAGCACATGTGACATAAGGTCCGAGACTGCGTCTGACCTAACAGTTACGCCCTCAATGCCTTCCCCGGGCCTGGAGTACTGCATCAGAGGATGACAAGCAAATGAGGAAAAGACCTGGAAGTTTTCTCAACAGGGTGACTTCTGATCCCAGCCAAGATCTGCTGGTTTAGAATCACTAAGGGTGGGACTCAAGAATTCGCATTTTGTTCAAACGCTTCCTGGAGATTCTGAAAATCGGCCAGGCCTGGGAAATGCCAGCTTGTAGGAAGCAGAGCAGCTGGCTCCTGAAGGCCGTGCCCAAGGAAGGGCGCAGCACAGAACAGGGCCGCGCGGGGCCACCGCCAGGCTGGGCAGGTCGGCGCTCTCCTAAGCCTTTTTTGACTCAAAGGGTCTAACAGCCCTCTTCAAAGTGTGGCCGCTGAACTACTGACTTCAGAAAACCTGAATGAGAGGGGGACTTTTAAAAATGTAGATTCTAAGGTCCAACCCCAACCTACAAGCTTGCAGTCTCCTGGGGTGAGGCTCAAGAATGGGCACTCTCTGCAGGCTGTCGGGGCAAGGCTGGCATGAACGTATGAGAATTACTGACTCCCGTCCCCAGGGTGCTCAGAGCAGCTGCCTGCATCTGGCATCTTCACGCACATTGAGCCTCTTGAGAGAGAAAAGTCCCATCTGCACATCTTAGGAGTTCCCTGGTTGCCCAGTGGTTAGGACTCTGGGCCCTGGTTCAATCCCTGATCCAGGAAGCAAGATCCTGCAAGCTGCATGGCGCGGCCAAAACAGAAACCAGGGCATCTTGGACGATGATTCCAAGACCTGGCAAGGGAAGGCATGAGGCCAAAAGGTACTGAATGTGCCCACTCCTACGGACTTCCCTGGTGGTCCAGTGGTTAAGAATCTGTGCTTCCACTGCAGGGGACACGGGTTCGACCCCTGGTCAGGGAACTATCCTGCATGCCATGTGGTCAAAAAACAAACAACAAATGTGCCCACTCCTCAGAACATCAGCCCTAAAGGGAACCAAGAAAGCACACTCCCAGCCTCGTACCGTATAGATGTGGACACTGAGCCAGGGAGGCCTGCGTCTCGTCCACGGTCAGCAAAGAGCGAGGGGCAGAGCCAGCCCAGCAGCCAGGGGCCATGCCCCAGCCTCCCCCGCGGCCCGGCTGCCCGCCTCCCCTCCTCCAAGCCTGCTCCCGGGTGAGTGGCTGCCAGCCTGGGCGTCTCAGCCAGTCCTGCAGCCCCTGGAAGACAGCGTGGCTTCACTCAGAGACTCCTACCGTCTCCACCACGGACGGTGATGAAGCACCTCGCGCTCCAGGAAGGAGGGCGCTTCGGAGAATGGAAGGAGCAGACACAGTCTGGCGTGGATCCCGGGGAGACTGGAGTGGGGCTCGTGATCACAGTTCAGTAGGGAGGTCCCCCCAGACTCAGCAGTCAGTCCACAGGGCCTGAGCGTAAACCGTCCCAGGGAGCCAGCAGCATCAGTGTTTCTGTCTGCACAGGTGTTCTGGGGGAACACCTGTGTCCTGAAATATGCTAATAGAGTCTTACCGCAAAAAAAAAAAAAGTTCAGTGGTCAGACCACGAAGCACCAGAGAAGAAATCAAAGTGCTGCTTAAATCATGACACAGATGAAGAAAGCTGGAGGCCGAGAGGATTACAGGCCTTGCCCAAAGTCACAGGGCTAGAGCGGGGGGCGGGGGGGATGAGCCTGCAGCCCGCCTCCAGGGTCCGGATGGCACCCAAAGGGCTTATAGGGCTCCTCTCAGGAAGACACAGAGGACAGATGGACAGTGAGGGAGGGGGAGGGGACGGTGAACGGGGAGGCGGGCGTGGATACATACACACGGCCACGTGTGAAACAGCCAGCCAGCAGGAGGCTGCTGTGCACGCGGGGAGCTCCGCTCAGAGCCCTGGGATGGCCTGGGGCTGGGACGGGGTGGTGGGCGGGAGGCTCGAGACGGAGGGGATCTGTGTGTGCACACAGCTGATTCACACCGTCGGACAGCAGGAACTAACACAACACTGCCAAGCAGTTATATACCAATTACAAAAAAGAAAATTGCAGCAGAAATCCTTAAAAAGAAAAAGGTTCCTCTCATTTACTGTCACTGTTCTTGCTCTTGATCTTCTGATGGGAGGCTGCGGGGTGGGGGGGAGGGCAGTGGCAGGGGCTGGGCAGGAAGTCATCCCTGTGAGCCGGCCAGGAGGCGAGGCTGAGGATCCAGCTTCCCACTCCTGTGCTGTTCGTGGGTCTGCGCTACTGGCTGTGGGACCTGGGGCGGGTCACAGCCCTGCTCCAGACTGGGATGTCCCGTGTGTAAAATCAGGAGCTGGGACCGGGTAATCCCAGAAGGCCCTTCCAGTCCTAAACCGCACCATCCTGCCCTCGGCCCCCACTTCCCCCAGCTCTCCCTGGACTCTGTAAACGGCCGTGGCCTGCGCCCCAGGCCTGGGCTGCCCGTGAGGCTGAGCTCTGGCCAACAACAGACTAAGCACAGTTTTGCTCTCCCGACTGTGACCCCCAGCGCTGCCCCTGGGCATTTAAGTCCAGCCCTCACATACAGGTAACTATGGCGTGGCCCTCGGG